TGGTAGCCATCTTTATGTGGCTTATGTTTTATATTTCCTTGAGCCTATTGCTTTAAACTGCAACTTTCTAAGCCTGAAACAGTGCTGGCACTGTGGCTGCTGGCTCTGCCCACTTCAGCTTCCCAACATGGCGGTAGTACATTTTCCTCCAGTTCTGGGAGCCATCAACTCTCAGAAATAGTGGGTCTATGCTTCTATCAAAGCAGTGTTTAGCCCAGAAACCTCTTTTTGTTTTGTACTAGCAAAGGCTAAATCCACCACACAGCTTAATGTGCCACTTGCAGAGGCCTCATTCCTGCCATACTGCAGGTTGAGCATGCACGCCAGGAAGCCATGATAGTAGCTCAAACAGGCAGGCTGCCCTAGCTTGAGAGAGACAACTAGGAACTGTTTTTAGCTCCATTTTAGAATCTTTTTACTCAGGTTTTAGGTGGAAACTCTTGCCACCACGTTGGGCTCCAAAACACAAAATGAATTTTGTTATAGAAACAGCTCATAAAATACCTGGCCAGCACACCTCAAAGCCATCTAAGTCATCAAGTAAAAACCAAGTCCAAGAGCCTGTCACAAGAAACATGAGTGAAAGGGATGGATCCAACAACCAGATGTAATATGGTACCTTAGAAATAACTTAGAAGGAAATATAAAATCACATGTTAGGAAAAAAACTAGGAAATGTGAGCAAATTAAGAACTTTAGTCATTAGCAATGTGTCTATTTTGGTTCATTGATTGTAACATGTGATATTAAAAATTGGACCACTCGTTACAAGACACATCCAAACTTTTATACTATCATCTGTTTTTCTGTGAATCTAAACTTGTTTTTAAAAATAGTCTATTTTTAAGAAACTGAAATCACAAATCAAGGATTCTAACATTTTGAGCATATTGCTGATACTAATATGAGATAAGGATTAAAATATTTCTAAAATGTTGTGAGAGATGATGTGAGTGCATACTAATGAATTTTAATTAACTTAAACTTTGGCTTAGTTTTTGAAGCCTATAAGGAAGCTTACTCTGATTCCCTGCATGTTTTAAAGTAAAGCTTTTCTCTGGCATGATGACTGTATGGGAAATGTAACTTAGTAGGACATTTCATTTTTCTATTACTTCTGTTCTTTGAAATTTGCCATTAGGGAGGTGATTTGATTATTTGTCTCACATTGCAGTCAATAGAACTAGCACAGAGCCGGGCGGTGGTGGCGCACGCCTTTAATCCCAGCACTCGGGAGGCAGAGGCAGGCGGATCTTTGTGAGTTCGAGGCCAGCCAGGAAAGGCGCAAAGCTACACAGAGAAACCCTGTCTCGAAAAAACAAAAAAAAAAAAAAAAAAAGAACTAGCACAGTCCAGTGAGGTGCTTAGTGTCCTAAAGCTAACAGTGTCAAATCAGACCTGAATCCAGCCCTAAGGCACACAGCCAAAAGTTCCTTTTAACCACCAGAAATCTCCAAATATTGTATTGCATGTAATTACCAGAAAAATGTTCTAAGAGACACTTCCACTGTATGTTTACATATTTATAAATTACTGATATTTATTTCTGAATTAATTTGGGGTACAATATAGTCTGGTAAATTTTAAGATGATTCAATAACAAATACAATGATTTCTATTGTTAGCTTTGTATACCATGTAATTATTTATGTGACTTTATTAGTAATTTACTTCTAAATACCAACTGTGATTATTAATCTGAGAGGATTTTAAAAATGCGTTTATTTATTTTCTTTCAGAATTCACATGGCAGGTTGGAGGTATGGAACTCAGGTTTGTTAACAAGCACCCTTAACCTTATGAACCCAACTTGACAGGATTTAGGAACTCCTAGACACTAACCAGTGGACATGACTGTGAGGATATTTTAGAAAGTTTTAGTTGAGATGAAATGATTGACCTTGCATGTTGTGGATAGGGTCCAGGACTGACTGAAAGGACAGGACCAACCTGCTGCCCCAGCGCTTGTTGCCACAACTAATCCTTGCCACCTTCGGTTCCCCTGACAGTAGAATGCACCTTCAAACTCTGGCCCAAAATGAACTCCTTCTCCTTTAAGTTGTAGTGGGAATGAGGAATGTAACTAATACGTGAGTATTCTGATTATTAATCGACACATAACAAACTATCTCTAAATAGTATGGTGGCTCTTAAAACCAACACATATTTTCTTAGCATCTCTCACAGATCTCTGATTAGCTGTGTTCAGCTGAGAAGGCCTCACATGTGCTGTGGTCACATGGTGACTTTTGAGTCACTTGATTTCATGCTCATTAGTTCATTGCTCCTGAACTTGGAAGATTCAGAACTCCAATGGCCTTAGCGTCTTTGAAGTTCTTACATGGTAACTCAGAGTTCCAAGCCATATGTGTCCCGAGATAGAGAGAGCTGGGCATGTTTTCTTTGATCTTTTATCTGACCTAAATCCAGGCAGCATCATGGTTGTTCTTGTTCGTTGAAAGAATTGTTATGTACTCAAGGTGGAGGAACTTGGACTCCTATTTTGTGATGGAAGGAACATCAAAGAACTTACTGGTATATTTTTAAGTTATCAAAGTGAGAATCTGAACTCAATTTTCTTTTATGGAATAAAGCCCTTATCTAGCAATCCATTGGTTCAGGGAAATAATCCAAATAGCACCGTGTGTTCCTTACTGTTACCTGCCATAGCCAGATCTATGGACATTCTACTGTATTTATTAAAGAAGAAAATGTACTAGGCTTTTTCTTTTGGGCCACCATCCAGCTCCCAAATCATGACACAGACACTTACCAGTTTTGAATGCTTAGCCTAGCTTAGGCACATTTCTGGCTAACTCTTTTAACTTAAATTAACCTGTTTCTCTTCATCTACCTTTTGCCTCGGGCCTTTTTACCTTTCTTACTTCTCGAGATCTTACTTTCACTGCTTCTCTATATCTCTCTTTTTTGTGTCTGCTTCTTGCCCTGAGCATCTCCCTTTCTCCCCTCCTTTTGTTCTTCCTTCTTGAGCCTAGATTTCTCCCCCTATTTGTTCTCTCTGTCAGCCAGCCCCACCTATCCCTCTTCTGCCTAGCTATTGGCCATTCAGCTTTTTATTAGACCAATCAGGTGCCTTAGGCGAGGTAAAACAGCCTCTCATAATTAAACAAATGCAACATAAGCAAAAGTAACATACCTTTACATGGGTGAAACAATATTCTGCAGCATAAACAAATGTAAAATATCTTTGCCATGTTAAAATCATATTCTACAACAGGGAAATAAAACTCTGTCCTCATCTAAGCCTAGGAAGACTTTCTAGGGCTTTTCCATCCCAACTCTAAGCTGTCTTTACCCTGCACTAGGGCTGAGGCAAGAAAGACTATAAATACTGTCTTGGGTGCTCCCCTTCACTAAGTTTTAATGTTTATTCTTGGTGTTGGATTAATTATGGGCTGATCACCCTTCATCACTCACTCATCATACCCAGGGCATTATTTTCTAGATTGTGTTTGCACTCTCCTAAACCAGAAACAATCTCAACAATAGAAATTTCAGGCAGCCACGCTATACAGATGCATAGACATAATTCTACCACACATTGTTCTCAGTGATGGTTTATTCCAGGATGCTGTGGTATACACCTGCTCTGAGGGTGCTTGCAAGACATAATGAGTATATTTTCCTCTAATGAAGTTCCATTTTATTTTTATCTTCGTTGCAATCTTGTGCATCTCTAATAAAATTTGTGATATTGTACATTGTGAGAGTTAAAAAAAGCCTCATTTTAATAACAAATTTAATCCAGTTTATTCATATGAAGACTTCATATATAGCTAAATACTGTTGTTTTTTTTTTCACTCTGACTAGCTACAATCTAGAAGTTACATAGAAGGTATAAAGCCTATGTCATTGAGCTTTTCTCTCATACCCTGTTTGGAAAATTTAAAGCACTTATAATATCAACATTTTAATCTCTAAAATATTATTTACTATTATTTTCTTTCCACTCTTTATTGTGGTCACTGGAGAATTGCCTGATAATTATAAACTCTTTCTGGGGTCTTTTCAGAGATACTTTTATTCTTTGTGCCGTGCCCCTGTCTTCTCAGGACAGTACTACATGGGTGTTAACCTTGGGACACATTTCCTCTCCCTGCTTCTTTCTCCATTTTTAACTATGTATTTATGGTATGTTCTGGGAAAAATTTTCTACTTCTGTCAATGTGTTTATCTTCCCTTTAGCTTCGGTTATTGAAGTCATATGTTAAGATGATTTTGTTATTGTTGTTTTGTTTTAAATAATATTTTTGTTAATTATTTAGGAATTTCACACAATGAAGTTTTGCATTAATTTTATTTAGTTTCATAAAACTGGTAATACATTTTCTATAATCTATCCATATTTCTTAGATGAACTATCTACCTGAATCATCTTGAGAGTCTTATATTTTAAGTATCTTTTCTTGTTGTGTAAGCAGTTATTTTTATTCCTTTTGTTTTTATTCTCTCCACCCTCGTTTTCATTCAAAACTTATGTGTAGATTTGAGAATTCTTGCTAAACTGTCAGAAGTCAGCCTTGCAGGGAAGGGTAGAACCTGTCAAGGATGTAGAAGGCACTTTGTTTTCACTCAGAAAGGGAAGGGGTTAATATCCCAATGCTGGTTTTCAGTTCTACAATCTGTCCGTCTTTCATGGCCATCATCCATTGGAATTGCAACCAAGCTTTTTTCCTAAATGGTGTTTATTTCTGGAGGCAAACACAGCTCTAACTGTAGAAGCATCAGTGGTTGGTGAGGGCCATATCAATCAATCTTGTCCGTCTCCCTGTAGTAACCAACCAATATTACCCATAGGAGCAGGCTGGATAATAGGGGAAAGATTTCTCTTAGATTTTGTTTTTAATTTTATTTGTTTTATGTATATGGATGTTTGGTTGCGTGTGGTGTGTACTCTGCAACTGAACTTACAGATGGTTGTGTGATGCCATTTTGTTTCTGGGAATTGAACCCTGGTCCTACAGAAGAGCATCCCGTGCTCGTAACTGATGAATCATCTCTCTAGCCCTTACATTTGGCTTTCAGCAGTATATTGAGGACATATTTGGAGTTAACTTCTTGATTCTTTTTAATGGTTGTACGTTGCTCCATTCTTAAACTGTATTATGATTTAGTTGCTCCTTGCAGATTTTTGTTTCTAGGATTAAAATCTTAAATCTTATTTTTTCTAAATATTCATAAAGTAGAATCTTAAAAACGAAATTACTGGATTATAATGTGTGCATATTTAAAATTATTTTGTGCCTCCACCACAAATATAGGAGAATATGAAAATATTTATCAGTTTGCAAGCTGATACCTGAATTGTGCTGTGTGGCTGTTGTGTCTTGTATTGCTTCTATTATAAATTTTTTCTCTTATTTTTCTTTCCAGCATTACTAAAATTTTATTGTATTGTGTCATTTGTTAATGTATAGATTGATACAAAATCCAATTATTACTTTCCTATGATGACTAATTTTCTTAATTCTATTTATTGAGTAAAATATTCATTTCCCAGTGACTGGAAATGCCAGATTTATCATTTATAGATTCTGATATGTACTTGTATGATTTCTGAACTTTATTGTGGTCTGCTGACTTGCTTGTCTGTTCTTGCATTTAATCCAGACCTTATTTTCACAACAACAAGGAAATCCATTTAAATATCTGACAGGCTACATAGCTTCTTGTTATTCTTTTTTCAATATTTTGTAGCTTTTGTGCTTTCTTGTCTATTTGAATAAACAAAAACAACATGTCAAGCTTCTGTTTGGTGTATCATTGGGTTTATTTAAAGCTGGGAAGGGATATTGTATAAATGGAGTTAATTCTTGTTACTTGGGAAAATTATTCTTTTTCTTTTGCAAACCTGTATAGATTTTTTAAAGAGATTTAATTGTTTTCTTGTTAGTTTCATGCTATCAATTTTTTGCACATGCAAAGTGAATCCTTTCCAACACTCTTATACTTTTTTGATTAATAAAAAACTGTTGGTTCCTGTCAAAGAGTTGATATGACCCTATGAATTTTCCTTTTGATCTTCTATTTTACAGCTTATTTTTTATTGAAAATAATTTCATTTTGTCACAAACCCATAAAAGTTACATCATCTAAAAATGATAGTAGCTTGTTTTTTTTCTTTTCTGAGCTTTAATCACTTAGAGAAATCTTTCCCATAATTGTAACATAAACTGAACTCTCCAAACTACTTGGATCACTTGGCTAATTCCTGTCTTCTTCTAGTATTTTTTGGAAACTCTCTTAATACATGACTTATTTACTTGTCTATTTTCTTATCTACATATGTGTGTATTCCTGTGTTAAAAGCATTTAGAAATATCTGACATATTTCTCTGAAAAACTAGAAATAATCTCACATCTGCTGAGAAAACACATGCGGACTGAATTCTTTTGCTTGGTGACATGGAATTCAGTTTTCCCAAGTGGGCCTCACTTAATATCTACCACTTAATGTTATTTTGTTGTTACTTTTTACTTTATGCTTATATCTTTAACCAGAGTTCTACAGATACTGAGACTTTCTCAAATGAGTTCCTTTTGAACACTTGGTTTTCTTCAAGATTTCACCGAACGCTTTCTGTGGCCATGTGATACTGTGACACTTGTTTCCCATTCCAATCCTCCATCTGGATCTATGCTCTACTTGGCAACACTTCTCTGTGGTAGCAGCAGCCTCAGCAGCACCGAGGAGGGAAAGGGAACTTTACATCTTCTTTGGCAGGAATAAACATTTCCTGCATGGTGTCCAAAATGAAAATAAATTACCCACTGTGCAGAAACATGGAAGTCATGATATTCTTGATAAAATATCATTAAGCAGTCTCCTGGCAATCATGCTTTTGGGTGTTACTGTTTATAATACCATCAGGCTTATATTTCTATGAGGTATAGAATGATTTAACAATTAAATAAAACTTGTTTATTTTGTGAAGTCTAACTTTATTTTATATACTTTATTTACACTTCAATATTTTTTTGAGTGTTGAGGGATGTCATCCAGTATATTTGTTTCTAACTGTCACTTATGGTAGTGGTGGGGCACACAGAATTGAGGTGACTCAGGCATATATATATATATATATATATATATATATATATATATAGTGAGATGCATTGCATATTATCATAGCCATGATTCTCAAGTTAGTTCTTCAAAATGAGACCTTTTCACACTCAAATAAAATTGGATAATTGACATATCCTTGTGCATTCTCTTTTACAACAATAAATCCTATTAGTAAGATCATTAATGCGTGATTCTTTGTCCTCTGCTTGAAGTATAAGCTGATTCTAAATCTTCTGTCTTTCCTTGACCTTTTGCCTTGCTAGTTATTTTGTTTTTCTTGTAAGTAAAATTGCCCCGTTCTCACAACCCTTCTTTATTTACTTAACTTTTTAATTTGGTTCCAGCTTCTTGGTGTACGTTAACAAAGAAAACCCAAAGAATACTGAAGGCTTTTAAAATACCAAGTAGGGCAGAAAAATTACCTCACTTGTTTTTACGTGTGATACTTATGAACAATCATCCAATTCAGTATTTGTTTTTCTGGCAGGAATATTCATTATTGACTCATCCTTTCTATTCCCTTCCTTGTAACCTTGAACGTCATGCACAGTGAATAGAAAATGAAATTTAAAGCATAGAGAAGAGATTGGGGGTCACAAGAAGGTGGTATTATGGTTTCTCAAAATTAGCTTAGCATCTGTGATATTTGTTAGGCAAACAAACTTTAGATATTAAATCAACAGTATATTGACAGTGGTTCAAAATTCAAATGCCACCCAGACACCCTTGTACTTCAGCAGCAATGTAAATAGGATCACATTAAACATTCTTATTGCTGATGTTATCATAATTTTGATTTAGTTCCTACAAACAATTTTATAGCTTTTATCTTTACACTTCAAACTAATCACCTCATGCTGTCGTTTCACCCTTCCAGGTAAGAGTTCCATATTTGAGTATAGTGTGAATTCAGGGGTTTACATCACTTTACAGTTTATAAAACTATTTCATACACATACTCTCATTTGATTGTACAGCCTATATGACAGTCATAGAAGAGTTTGTAGATCCATTTTACAGCGAAGCATGGAGGATCCAGTGATTTGGGAAGTAGTCTAGAAGGTTGACACCTATGGCTAAATCCTCTGGGCACCCAGGGCCTCGGATGGTACGTATGTCCATTGTTTCCCCAGTCTATTGTTTTGTTTTTTGTTTGTTTGTTTTAAGTAAAACATGGTAGAAAAAAAGCTCAGTTATACTGCAACTGTTTGTTTCAGTTTTGAACTTTGATTGCAGCACCAGCCAATGGCAGTGTTCAAGACTATATGGAGTGAGTGTGAGCTACAAACCTGAAAAGGGAAGGAATAAGGAGAGTGAAGAGAGGAAGCTGCATGAGCAGGATGCGATGCAAATGCCTGGGAGCACCAGAGATGCCGTCATCACGTGTTGCCACTGCTGTTTTAATAACCAGGTCTGTGGAGGACATTAGCGTTGCTCACGTAGAAGATAAAAGTAGGGCATATGTGGGTGCCTTTCGTTTCTAAAGCTAATATTCACAGTACGTATGTGCGATTTGTATCTGTAGTGATAAGATTGGCCACTGTTATAAGATAACCTTCATCTTGGGGCTGGAGAGATAGATGGCTTAGGGTTAAGAGTACTTACTGTTCTTACAGAGGACCTGGGTTTGGTACCCAGTACCCACCTCAGGCAGCTAGAAATTATTCCATTTCTAGGAGTGAAGATGTCATCTGGCATCTAAGGAAATCTGCAAGCACATGGTGTCCTGGTACCCACAACACAACTTATGCACACACACACACACACACACACACACACACAGATGCACATATATAAAAATATTTCAAAATGTGTGTTTCTAAATAAAACAAAAAAAAAGCCTTCCTTATAGATGTCAGAAGCACGCTATAGAGCTACTTCTTTGAAAGGGATACGTGGGACTCAGGCACTCACTCTAATAGTGCTGTGGGTGCTACAGACTTGGGATTGGCCTGGGCATGGTGCCTCCACAGTGAGCTCTTGCCTCGTAACTTCATCACTGCATATTGAGCCACTCTATGCTGTTCCTTTCCATCTATTTTGTCAGTGTTTGTGTTATAAATTTGAGATAAAATGAAACACTTGATTCATGTCAAGTATAATTCTTACTTTTGAATGTGGCTATTTGAATTGAATCAAAGAACTAAAATGCAGGGGTTTCTTGGAGGTATGTTTTAAACTTTTTACTCTTATGTTTTAGTCTGTGATGATCCTATAAGAATATTCCAGAACTGAACTGTAACTAATCTATAACTTTATCAGTAGCATCTAACTTTGAGTAAGTTATATTTGTACTAGTCAGACATTAGTATAATGCAGAGACTTCTCCTCCCTGTGATGTTCTGGCTTCCACTTCTGGCTTATTGCCACCATCTCCCATGGCCAGGACCCAAAGCCTTGGGAAGAAGGGAGACGCTGCTATCAGTTCTCAACATGCCTACCTTTTGCACCTGAAAAATCACAAGCACGCTAGCAGATGTTTTAGTGAATTGATGAAAGGCGAAAGCCAAATGAGCATAGCAATCCTTCTTTAAATGGATTGAGTTCAACTGAACACACCTATATCGGCAAGCATGCTATAGGTCTGGCACAAAGCGTATGGAAACGAACAATTGTTGGCTTCAGCAGAGGCAGTGATGATGGAGGGACGTTTGCTTTTACTTACGAACAAGTATTCTTCTGAGAAGACCATCATCACCCCAAAGGGAAGATTGCCTCTGCATCTCCACTTGAATTCTCAGTCTTTCATCATTTTGGGAGGTGGCATAAGGAAGGGCTAAGGTGTTCCTGTACCTCCACTTGGAGTTTTAGCACTTCCTGCAGGTAATGTGGATTCGCCGAACACTCTTGCATTTTGGGGATGGTTGACAGCTAACAGTACTAGGTGTTGTGGAATATTAGTGGAAGATGTATTACATTTGTTTATGCTGTGTAACATTTATTTCATGATGCAAAGATGTGTTGCATTCTTTTACGTTGCATTTGTTTAACTCTGTGAAGCTGTGTTATTTGCCTAGCTAAAACACCTGATTGGTCTAATAAAGAGCTGAATGTCCAATAGCAAGGCAGGAGACAGAAATATGGCTGGCAGGCAGAGAGATAAAGAGGAGAGGAAAAGAAGATCTAGGAGCAAGAAAAAGGAAAAGAGGAGGACAGCAGGAGTCAGCCACCCAGCTACATAGCAAGCCACCAAGTAAGAAGTAAAGAAGAGATATATAGAAATGGAGAAAGGTAAAAGCCCAGAGGCAAAAGGTAGATGGGTTCAAGTTAGTCATTGAGAGATGGAAATGAGGAGATGAAGGGTTAGGGGGAGATTTAAACACAATGAAGTACACATGAAGGAGCTACTTGGGAAGCTACTCTTTTGCAATCCAAATGATAGTATAAGATGGGATAGCAGAACATGTGTGCTATGAAAGAGCAATGGGAGAGAGAATACTGAGAGCAAAGGGACTCAAGCAGGAACAGGGAAAAGGAGGGCTAAAGTGGGGGGTAACCAAAATGAAGGATGTAAGAAGTCTTCTGAAGCCTCAGTAGTTTGTAAGCTAACTAAAAATAAAACATTTTAAAGGAATTTGAACAGAAGCATCCAACTTTCATGAACAATTCTCTTTTAAGATGACATGGGTTATTAAGTAAAAATCTCAGTGCTAAGCACTGGGTCTCTCCCTACACATTTTTGGTCAAAGTGGCCCCTGTGACACTCAGAACAATACTGGCTGTTCCTGTTGTTCTTGGTTGCCCACCATAACCAGATCATAATACTCTATTACTGAACACACCACACTCTGCTTGCAGGACACAGAAATCAGTCTTGAGCTGAGCAGGAAAATCTCCTTGCTGGCTAGCTTTCATAATACTGGAAAGTGTTAAGTAGGCTTCTGTGGGTGAAAAGACATCAGTGGTCATACCAAGTCCTGGATGGTACATAATATAATACTGACCTACTACTGCTATAGTTGCAAGACTTTATAAGGTTAACCAATCGCTTTTTTGATTGGATTTGAGGTCTGCTGCATAGGAGGGAATTCATGCCTATTAATGCCAACTTGCTTAAAAACCGATTAGAGAAACCATAGGTCCTAGGATTGATCATATATATTGATGTTTTTCTAAATGGTCATGTTGTCAAACTGTCTTTGAAATATTCCTGTTTGAATCCATAAGTTTGTGTCACTCCCAGCCTCAGTCAGAGAAGCTTCTTATTGCAGTGGGAAAGGGCCAATACAGAAATGCATTGCTGTTTAAACTGATGGGATTAAATGAGTGTGAGGGCTCAGGAGTAGCTGAGACATCTAGATCTATTCTCTTCCCCCAGTGCTCAGGGAACATCATGGAAGAAGGGACAGAAAGAATTTAAGAGCCTGAGGATGACGAGGAGTGCTGTGAAATACCATTCACAACAGTATTTGTGGACTTGACCTGGCTGTTGGACACATGGACTGATGGCAGCTATGGTTGCCTTCCCGAGTTACACTTAATCAAAAAGCTAATCAAATTTCAGACATGGATTGGGCAGGAGGCTCTGATGCTGCACTCCTAGTGAAGAACTGTTGGCAGTGGATGGCTGCTGGAGAAAGAAGGGTCACTTTTCACTAGGATTGTGGCTACCGGTAGGTGGTAGATTTCCCACACACCAGTGGATAAACCCACACCTCTATGCACCTGGGCAGCGCTAATTGTATTTGTGAATTAAAAATAAACTAACAAAAGAAGGGCATGAACTTTGGACATATTATCTAGGGGACTGGAAGGGAATTGGAGGTTGTAACTGAGTGGTAGATATGATCAAGATACATTGTAGACATGTACAAAATTTTCAAAGAATAAATAAAAAGAAAATATTTAAAAGCTCTCATAGACAGATATATTTGCAGAGCGCTGAACACAATAAGCAGACAGAAAAGTTGTTAAGATGACATTGTACTATTAAACTACACCAAGGATTTACCACAGAAGGGTATTGTAAACAATAATCAATTAATTGTTTCAGAAACTTTAAGTATAAATCAGTGAATAGCATGCCTACAGATGAGTGATTCTGTGAGTCCGTTCCATGCTTATAAACAACTTCTAGGTCCTCTGTTGTCAGGGTTAAAGCTGTGTTTGTAGTTCTGCTGGCTAGAGGCCATGAAACATCCTGCCTCCCTGTCCTGCCTGCAGCCAGGAGACACCAGAAGCACCTACCCTTCCTTCTTTGCTCACTAACAAAGCCTCTAAAACCAGGTTGACAGGCGGTGAGTGCCTCCTCCTTCCGTGTTCGTTTTGCTTGAGGAAACAACCCAAAGCCCCTGGTGAGGAGGTGAAGATCTATTGTCCATGAAGGATCTGAATTTCAGCTTCGTGCTCAGCACTCCTGCAATTTGCCTTCATTTTTTTACAAGATGCAAATAGCACTCATTGGCTTCGCTGCCCTTCCGTTGCCCTTGTCATTCCTGCAGTCGTGTTGAGAAGATGACATCGCCACAAAAGGTCAGACATTTGCCGTGTGGTAAACTGCATTTCTTTTGCTCAGAATTATTTCAAACTATAAAGTACAAAGTTAGACTACCCAATCTCCACAGTCCAGATTGTGGGAATCACAATCAATGCATCCATGGTGTGGATACTTAGAGCTGGTTTCCTGGAGGTGACCTGTTGTTGGATGTTTTCAGGTTTGTTTACACTGTCATCTTTTTGGACCTCTAGTAGGTATTCACAAGTCTCCCATTTGTGAAGATTTTATAGGATATGGCAAAGCATTCATTCAAAAAACAATGAGAGGAAAACTACAGCATCTTCAAGGACATGTGTGGACCTGAGGAAGAATTTTAAGTGTTCAGAATTAGCTACCTCCCTATTCATTTAGAGGACAATATATAGATATTTGCTCTCTTGGTCCGTTTAATGTTGTCTATAACAAAATATCTGGCTGGGATACTTTGTGGAGAAAAGAACTATGGTGCTGTTATGGAGACTGGGAATTAACCAGCATTATGGTCTAGGGAGGATCCCCTGGCTATATGACAGACAACAGGGTACAGAAATGGGGAGGACTGGCCTCACTGTAGATGGCCAAGCACATTGTGTGGCTAGCCTTACTTTATAACAGCTGACTCTTAGGAGAGCTAATGTTTTTTTAAATGGCCATCAGTTCCCTCAAAAGGTAATAACTCTAAGTTCTATTCATTTCCACTAGCTCGCATCTTCAAAAATCTCTATTTTTATTCTTTGACAATTGCATACATGTATACAATGAATTTGATTCCCTCTCATCCTCTCTTGCCCTGTCTAGCCCTCCCTTATTGAAATGCCCTCCTACTCTCATGCCTTTCTCTGTGTGTGACCTACTAAATTGAAATGAGGTTTCCTGAGTGAGCATGCATCTGAGGTTATTTACTGGAGCCCCATCAGTTCTTCCGAGGCTACAGCACTAAGGAAAAATGACACCATTTATCTCACCTGTGATTAACTATCAGCAGTCCCTGAGGTAGGGGTGCAACCTCACAAACCCTTCCGTCTTCCATGATGAAATGCTGACTCGCCCAACCTTGGTCAGGTAACAACAGGTGTGGTGAGTTCATGAATGCATTGACTGGCTCGTGTTCAGAAGACCCTGCTTTGGAGCAGGCCTCTCCAGTCTCTGTTTCTTACATCACCTCGGCCCCCTTTCTGTAATGTTTCTTGAGCTTTGGGGCATGTGGTAATGATATAGATGTTCCAGTTAGAGCCATGCACTCCAATCGTTTATCCTCTAAACTTTGTCAAGTTGTGAGTCTCTGTAACAACTGCCATCCACTGAAGAATAATCTTCTGTGAAGAGGGATGAGAGCTGCACTAATCGATGGGTGTAAAGAGAAGTAGTTAGAAGGGAGTTTGATACTGTGTCTTTTTAACAAAACAAAGCAGTTGATTTCCCCCACCCCCTGGAACATTTGACTTTCCTAGCCATGGCTTCTTGGCCAGGCTCACAGTAACAAACATGAATTTCACCTGTGACGCAGAAAGTAATGGGTTACTCCAATAACATTCATGCTGTTATTGTACCAATAGGATGGTTTCCTCACACAGTTATCATTGTAGATCATAGGGTTCATGATTGGATGAGACTGTTGAATTTTGGTTAATACTCTGGGAGTATTTGTGTAGCTGGAGAGCTTCTCTCCGGGTCCCGCTGAGCCCTGGCAGTCTGACAGCCCACTTATAAAATAAATACACAGACGCTTATATTATTTACAAACTGTATGGCCGTGGCAGGCTTCTTGCTAACTGTTCTTATATCTTAAATTAACCCATTTCTATAAATCTATACCTTGCCATGTGGCTCGTGGCTTACTGGCATCTTCACGTGCTGCTTGTCATGGTAGTTGCTGGCAGTGTCTCCTTCACTCAGCCTTCCACTTCCCAGAATTCTCCTCTCTTTGTCCCATCTACTTCCTGCCTGGCCACAGGCCAATCAGTGTTTTATTTATACAGAACAATATCCAGAGCATATTTGTCTCTTTTGGCTTCTGGGAGGAGCATTCTCCCCTGTATACAATACCATTATTCAAACTCTTTTTATTATGATGATATGTATGTTTTTAGTTAGCTTATAAAATAGCAAGTTTTTATATTGCTTTTCAAGCATCCTTGGTGTTAGTTATCTCTCCTATAGATCTCTCTGTTTTCTCCTCCCCTTGTAGCTGAAGATGTCCTGGTCCTTCCCAGCTTCCACAGCCCTATGGCCACTTGGACCCAAGTAAACACACAGAGGCTTATGTTAATTAAAACTGCTTGGCCATTAGCTCAGGCCTACCACTGACTAGCTCTTACACTTAAATTAACCCATAATTTTTATTTATGTTTAGCCACATGGCTTGGTACCTTTTCTTAGTTCTGTGTTCACATCTTGCTTCCTCTGTGTCTGGCTGGCGACTCCTGACTCAGCCTTCCTGTTCTCAGAATTCTCCTCTCTGCTTGTCCTGCCTATACTATACTTTCTGCCTGGCTACTGGTCAATCAGCATTTTATTTATCAACCAAATCAGAGCGACACATTTACAGCATCCAGAATGACATCCCGAGCATCCCCTCCCTCAGTTTAAAACTTCTCCTCCCATTCCTCCCTTTCCCCAGTTTATACCCACTGTGTTCTACTATCCCCCCTCCTTTAACTCCCTCCTCCATAGCCCCTTTGTAGTTTTCAGGCTTCTGCAGGTGCTTCAAATTAAACAGACAAATTCTGGAATCAAAGTTAGAATCTGTTCATGAGAGAAACTGTGTGATGTTTGTCTGTTTGGATCTGGGTTACCTTACTCAGTACAATTTTCCAAACTTTATTCATTTACCTGCAAATTTCATTTTTCTGTACACATGTATAAAATTCCATTGTGTTTATGTACCATGTTTTGATTATTTGTTCATCAGTTGATTGGCACCTAGATTGTTTCAGTTTCCTAGATATTGTGAATACAGCAGTCTCTCTGGAGTAAGATATCCAGACCTTAGGGTATATGTCCCCCCGAGTGGTATAGCTGAGATACATAATAGTTCTGTAACTAGCTCCTTTGAGGAGTCTCCATACTGACTTCTGTAGTGGCTACATGAGTTTTCACTCCCACCAATAGGGAATAAGTCTTTACCTTTCCCCACATCCTCACCAGTACTTGTTGTCATTTGTTTTCTTTCTTTTAAATTTAATTTTTTAAATTTATATTATAATATATTACATAATTTCTTCTCTCCATTTTCTCCCTCCAAATCCCTCCATGTACCTCCCTTCTCTCTTTTAAATTCATAGTATCATTTTTTGTTATTATACATACCCATGTAATATATAGATATTCCTAATAATATATATTCCTGAATATAGAAATACAACCTGCTGCATCTAAATAATGTTAGTTGTATGTTTGTGTTTACAGAACTGACCATCTTGTATTGGCTAAACAATTGGCTTGACCTTAGCCATTCTGACTGAGATAAGAGGAACTCTCACCTCATTCTGACTGAGATAAGAGGAACTTGGTGCATGCACTGGCTTTCTGGAGCCCATTACCTATGGTGGGACACCTTGCTCGCCCTTGATGCAGGGGGCTTGGTCCTGCCTCAACTGAATGTACCAGGCTTTGCTGACTCCCCATGGAAGGCCTTACATTTTCAGAGGAGGAGACAGGGAGTAGGTGGGTGGGGAGACTGGGAAGGGGAGAGCCAGAGAGGGGAATCTGTGGTTGGTATGTAAAATATGTTAAAAAAATAAATAAAAAAGAGGAAGTCTCAAAGTAATTTTAGTTTGTAGTTTGAATTTCCATGATGATGAAGGATGTTCTACCCATTGAAAATTTTATTTTGGTCATTTGTATTTCTTTTTTGAGAACTTATTATTCAGTTCCATATCTCAGTTTTTTTGTTTTTGTTTTTGTGTTTGTGTGTGGGTGTTTTTGTCTGTATGTGTATACGTGTTCCATGTGCATGTAGTAGCCCATGGAAATAAGATGCCATCATATCCCCTGGAGCTGTAGTTATAGACAGTTGTGCGGGTCCTGTGACTCAAACCTGGGTCCTCTGGAAGAGCTGATCCTGCTGATCCATTTCTTCAGCCCTGTAGCCCATTTTTATGAACTGGTTTATTTTCATAATGTTTAGTTTTAGAGTTCTTTAGGTATTCTAGGCCCTAATTTTCTGTAAAATGTATAGCTATGAAAATTTTCTCCCATCCTGTGGACAGCCTCTTCACTCACTCATCATTTTCCTTTGCTGTACAGAATTTGGAAAACTTCATGAAGTCCCTCTTGATGATTGTTTAGCTTCTCCTTTTGAGGCTTTGCTACAAGGCCATGTTGAAGAGCCAGTTTCTACTCTAGGAACTTTGGGAGAAATGATTCAAACCCAAGCCATACAGCCCCTTTCAGGGCAAAACACAGTGATTTCAAATAATTTCAAAGTGTTATTGTATTCATATTTATAATAATAGTTCAGATACATTGAGCACTTTTTTTTTTGGTTTTTTCCAGACAGGGTTTCTCTGTGTAGCTTTACACCTTTCCTGGAACTCACTTTGTAGACCAGGCCGGCCCGAACTCACAGAGATCTGCCTGCCTCTGCCTCCCGAGTGCTGGGATTAAAGGCATGCACCACCACTGTCCGGCAACGCTGAGCGCTTCTTATGTGTATTTGATATTCACTGTCTTATTAATGCATTATATGAGACTGTTGCTCGACCTTTTCTTAAATCCTCGTGTAATTTGCCTATGAATCACTTCACCCTTACTGTCACCGCTGGTCTAGTGATTCTGCCTCCAGGAAACAAGTCTTACAGGGTGCTTGGCCCCACACTCAAGGTCAGCTGGCTAGTTTTGGTAGCTATCATCATTCATCTATCTTGCAATAAGCCAGACATGAGACTGGTTTAGAAAACATGGAGATGTATGTAACTTACTGGGCTGTTTTCTGTTACATTTGTTTTTGTGATCATGTGTTAGTATCTTTGTCCTTACTAAAATCTGTAATAACAGAAACCATCCCAGGTGTGCTCAGAGGAACTCTCCTGATGCTGACTCATGAAAATAGATAGTAAGTTGTTCTTGAATTGGAATGACTTAAGAAGTGTTGCCAGAGTGTTAACACAGATACTATATCAGGGTTTTACTTTTCATGGTTTTAGTAATTAATCATGATTCCAAAATATTAAAAGGAAAATCCCCTACACAAACAATTAATGGGTTTTAGGTTTCACATTGTGCATTATTATTTATTTCTATATCATCATGTAGGATGAGTATGGTGCAGTAAGATGCCTGAGAGAAACCATATTCACCTAACTTTTATTACTGCAGATTATGTGTTTTGCTTTATTATTAATTACTATTCATCTTTCTTTATGTAACTTGTAAGTGAAACTTTATTATGTATCTATATAGGGAAAAAAAACAACAACACGTATAGGGTTTGGTTCGGTCTACAGCTCTAGACTATCGTTATACACCTAGGAAACTATCCTCCCCAGGAAAGATGATTTAAAAGATCACGGTCTTTTAAAATAATGCTGCAAAATCTATGTCTGGTTTAATTATTTTAGAATATGTTGGAGATATCTTTAAACCTTAAACAGCGGTAATTTTTGTAAGAAATACATAAAACATATTTGGAGAATATTTTATATTGGTGACAAACCTTAAAAACATTCATACCTAAAAGTTGAGCATAGAAGAAGCCATCATGAAAGTTGTGGATGTGCTTTCCTAAGAAGAGAACTACTAATCATTTTTCATCCCACCCTCTGCCTCTGCTTATCACATTATCTAAATCTACAAGGTAGGAAAAAAAAAAAACACCCTGTGATCGTAAGACAAAATAATGCCCAATAAAGTTGAATTTCAAGGAGTTGAATAGCAATTCCCTGTCATAGTAAGAGAAGATTTAAAGGTATGGACTCCTGGTTGTGAATACCCTGTCTTTAGAGAGAGGGTCACATGGCCTCTGAGGTTCATGTGAAGTTATGCATCAAAAGGATATTTGAAGGAGACACACAGAAGGGATAACGTGAGGGAGTGGTCTGGCCTCTCCACTGTGAAAAAAAAAATGCTGCCCCAAGGCATTCTTTGTGATTTCTGAGTGAATCTGTCATTCACACACAAGGAAAGGAAAGCAGTTTTTGAAAATTGCCTGTATTTCTCAAATTATCAATGGTGAGCCAAGCCCTTACTAATGTACCCCAAATGACTCCTAAATTCATTGGTAGACCAAAGTAATATGATCAGAAGGTATACTGTCCCCTCAATTTAATGTTTATTAATAGGCTAAAGTTTAATAGATGATAATTTACAACATTTGGAACATAAGAAACACGTCAAGGTTATTCTAAGAAAGATCTCCCCTGAAATTCCATAGCTATTATTTTAATAAATGTATGTGAAGAGGGTATGCATTTCAGTATTCACTCAAGTGTTTACTACGTAACTTAGGAAATGGGAGGTTCATTTTTCTGTGGAAGATGGAATCTCATATAAATGGCAGTGCTTCATTTCTGAATAGAGACCCTTTTATCTTTCACTAGATGGGAGAATTTTCATTGGTTCAAATTATACCAAAGACTATAGGGAGAGCTTGCTTAATGCCAAACTTTTTAGGTATTCCTAGGCTACTGTCTGGCAACAGGGCTCTTGTCTCCATTATGAGACTACATGAACATTTATGAAATTGCTGTAATTCACTTTTACTGTTATTTTGCAACCACAAGACTCTTCTTTATTCAAAATCATATACTTTGCAAACAAAAAAAAATGAGACAGAGTTCCAAGCAAGGTTGGAATGTGAAGATTTCGGCTCAGCTGCAAAAATGCTACATTTTCTTTAGAACAGTGGCTTAGCCCATATTTCAACAAATATGTAACTACTTTGTTGGACTGCCTGTTTGTGACAAACTTTTCTTCCTTCAGCCTTGAGAAAATGAAAGAAAAATGTCTATAATAATTTAAAAGGTACATCTCATCAAATTTAATTTAGATGACTTAGTTGATGTTATATAATTAGCAGCTGGGCTGTTATAATGAGGGAACATAGACCAAATGCCCCAAGTAACAGAAATGTATTGTTTTGTTACAGTTCTGTAGGCTAAATATGAAGGATCATAGTATGGTTTATAGATGGATGCTTTTTCTGATCATCCCGTGATCGTCCCACCTTATCTGTGTTCTAATTTCTTTTTCTCATAAGGTGCCTTTAAGCTGGGCAGTGGTGGCACACACCTTTAATCCCAGCACTTGGGAGGCAGAGCCAGGCAGATCTTTGTGAGTCCGAGGCCAGCCTGGTCTACAGAGCCAGATCCAGGAAACGCACAAAGCTACACAGAGAAACCCTGTCTCAAAAAAGCAAAAAAAAAAAAAAAAGGATCTTTTAATCCCAAATCCCAACAGGCTGGATTAGGACCCACCAGTGGCCTTCTTTTAGTTATTTATTTACAGACCCTAAATAAAGTTACAGTCTGAGGTTTTGAAGGTGAAGAATTCGACACATGACTCTGGGGAACACTATTCAGCTGATAAGGCATCTTATAAATGTAGTTTCTGGTGTTTGAATGGTGGATGTTTGGTTTCCAAAGTCCAAATTTCCCCCATTCACAGCTCCCTGGGCCATTCATTCTTTTCTTTGCTGCTTTCATTCCACCTCATTAAGCGATTTCATTTGCTACCATCCCAAGGTGCTGCTGGTAGCTCGGAAGATTTGAAGGAATTAGAGCCCTTTGTCTCCTGAGTAGACAGAGTGGAGGACTATAAGAAAAAGAAGCCGTAGTCTGCAAGTGAAATTCCTGGAGTGAGATTTATAATGGTTGTGTACGCAGTCTGAAAAGTCCATTTATTAAATGAATATGGGTGGTTATGAATATGGGTGGTTTGAAATTCTCAACCAAGGAGCTCTAGCTTGAGGAGACAACAAAATCACCAGGTCCAAGTAGCCGTTGCTTTATTTGTTCTGCTCTCTAGTCCTCTAGGTAGAGAGGATTTATATTTTATCAGCGTCAAGACAAGGAGTTGAAGCTCGGAGAGTTTGTATGACTTGCTCACGTGGGGCTAGGACTGCAAGCAGCTTCTTTTGATTCCGAGTGCCGTGATCTTTGCCTGCGTTGGCGCTCCCTTCATTCAGTGAGCCTGCAGGATGCTGCGTACAGTTCTGTAGGTAACATGGAGATGCACCACAGGAAACGCTCTCAAAGAACTTCCTTTATAAAAGATCAAACAAAGGTACTCCTCACCCTCTTCACTCTGTTCCCACTGAAGCCCCAGGGCACACAGACAGATCTACAGATCCCTACTCACAGAGTCCTACCTGGTGTCATATTGCTTTACATTTTCTGCAAGTGAGACTCTTACGTGCTTGTAATGAGCTAATACACAGGGTTTTTGGACCATTCACAAGACAACATCCACCCTGTTATGTATGTATGCTTATGCACTTAGATTTTTACACCTTCTCTTCTCAGTGGATGCTAATGTCGTAAATAAAATTGAAGAAAGTGATTCTCAGTTGTCGATGTATCAGTGCCTTTCTTTGGGGTAGTGTGAAGTAAATTCTATGGATTAAATATTTAGAATATAAAGTAAAATAATACAAGCTAATTGAAATAGAAATAATTCATGAAACTTTTTTTTCCTTAATTTTTG